ACGACCCCCTTGTATCTTGACCCAGAGCACTTCAGCTTGCCCCTCCTCTGACCCCATTTTGCTGGCAGAGGATGTGTATTGCTCTTTGACACAGAGCGCCACACTACCTCCCTTCCTTCCTTCCTTCCTTCTCCCGCCTGTAGAGCCTATAGCCCCTAATGCTAATTGCCCAGCCATCACACACCAGGAGCAACATCATAAGTCCAACACAACACAACATTTTTGCTTCTTGCTGTTAATTCCTTTATAAAAAGAAAGGCTGTGTGACAGTTCTGTTTGGGTACCTGTCATGGGATGGAGTCCTGCAGGATGGCCGCGATCTCCCCAGGGCCTCCTTGCCAAGTTGGCTCAATGGGCACCCTCGATTCTCACCTGCCACATCTTTGATCGAATGATTGATAGGGAGGCTGCCTTTCAGTCCTCTTGGACATGGTCTTGATGGACTCTCTGGACCCCATGGGTTTCCGGACCCCTGGTGGGTCCCACTCCAAGATAGATGTCACAACGGGTGTTTCGGGGCACCCTAGCCTTACAGGCTATGCATGGCTCCAACCACCCCTTTACCATGCCCCAAGCCTCACTGATGATACTGACATTGTTTGGTCTGGGCCTTGTTATAATTTAGCCCCCCTTGCCCACCCTGGGCCCTCCGCGGCCCTGTCTCGCTCTGCACCAAACTGGTGCTTGGCTCTCCGCAGCCCTGTCTCACTCCACGCCCCGCAGCCCCGCCTTCTTGCTGTTAATTCCTTTATAAAAAGACTGTGCACCCCAAATGCTGTGCCCTCTCTGGCGCTGGGGGTCTGTGCACCCCAAATGATGTGCCCTCTCTGGCGTGGGTCCCCTATGAGGCCTCTCCTATCCCCTAATAGATTCACCCAAACCACCGGTCTTATACAACAATAAACAAAACACAAGGCCCTGGGCTGTAACATAAATTCAAGCCGCTCAGCTATAACCTCATTCAAACCCTACCGGGGGAATATGCTTCGTCCCTTAACAGTATCGGAAGCTGCTCCTGCAGACAGGCCTTTCCCCTTTGCTTGCCCTGGGAGAGCTCCTTCCCCCTAGACTGCTGGCAAAGCACTACCCTCCCTGGGCCCGGTCCTGGTGTTTATATGGGCCCAGAGCCTTGCCCCTTCCAGTCAGCTGACCATGTGCAGGTGCAGGCTGATTTACCCTCTGGCTTGTTGCCCTGGTAACCTGCACCTGGGCTTCTATCTCTCTCTCTTTGGGCTTTTCCCCCAGGCAGTTTCTGCTCTTCTAGGAGCAGGGCACCTTTGTGCCCTGCTACAGTACCTTTGATGCTGCTGCTACTGGTATTGAGCTAGCTAAGTCATTTTACCTGTTGTCATGTAAAGTGGTGGACCAGGAGTGAGGCTATAAGGGAGGAGGAGGCTTCACTGGGGCACACTGCTGTGTTGTGCAGAGGCCCCAGCTCCAGGAAGAGCGCAACTAAACACACACAGTGTCACCCACCCACATCACGAGTTTTCCCTGTTAGTAGCCAGAGGTGCAGGGCCCCAGAAGCCAGACTCCCCCAGCGAGGCACACACACAGCTGGCAGGTTTCATGACCTGGCAATGCCCAGCACCCAGGTCTGCAGTAGATTTCACCCCCCTGTACGCCAAGACAGATGCAGCCACACAAGCACCCACCCACATCACGAGTTTTGGCTGTTAGGAGTCAGAGGTGCAGGGCCCCAGAAGCCAGACTCCCCCTGCACCTGTCTCCTTGATAGCTGGCAGGCTTTGTGGCCTCAGCAGGGGCCACCACCCCTGCACTTTTCAGCCTGTTCCGCCTTAGCGCACACACGGTCATCTATGTCACGAGTTTTTCCTGTCAGCAGTTTGAGGTGCAGTTCCCCACAAGCCCCTGCACCGATTTTCTTGAGACTTGGCAGGCTTCTTGGCCTCACCAGGGGCTACCACCCCTGGAGTTTTCACCCCCCTGTGGTGTAACATATACATGTGACGTGAGTGTTGCTTTCAAGAATTTGGGGTGCAGTTCCCCCCAAACCCTTGCACCTATCTTCTTGACACTTGGCAGACGTCATAATATCAGCAGAGGGTACCACTCCTGCAAGTTTCACCCAAATCAGGCAGTAAACAACAAAGTTACAGATATTTCGTTGATCCCCCATTATACCCTATGGCCGGATCTCTGAGGTGGCTCCAAAGCTTTGGAGCCACTTCGGTCGGATCAAAGTGGGAACCCAGTCTGGAGGTCCGGATTGGATCGCTGGCATCCAAAGCGGCTGGATCTGAAGCCGGATCGAATACCTGCCTACTTGCACAGGCCTAGAATGTATCAACACTAGAAATTCTGTATGCCTCAAAGAGAAGAGATCTGTGGAAGACCATGATTACCAACGTCCTGTTTGGATATGGTACTTAGAGAGAGAGAGATTTTGGGGAGGAAGAGGACAGTTTGTTTTTTCTTGGAACAGGACTGTTTGAAGCTATGATGTAATTGATTAATTTCCAAGTAGCATGGCAGATTAATTTTACATAAGAATTAGAAATACTATAGAATAACATAAATCAGAAATGGAAAAGACCTACAGCATTATATTCCCATTTTATAACCATTATATTAACCTGCAAATGTTCTATTCTCCTCACAGTATATTTGAAAATTACTGCTTAGAAAAAAAGCAAGAACAAAATGAAAATCAAAGTTTAGGCTGTCAGGCCTCTTAAATATGTACATCATCCCTTAACAGCTAATGAAATATCTAGCATGAATTTGACATGTGAACAGTGTTTATTCAGGTGGGAAAAAAAAGTATCAGGAATTTAAGAAACCTTCTTATGATTTTCCATTGGCCTTGTTGGAGTAAGAAATTCAGCTGAAGAGAATCTGCTGATGGCCCAAAATGGTATAAACGGTGACATACATAAGACAAGGTATATTTAACTATATATAAAAACCGTATTTATAGTAAATTGTTAAAAAGGTGGCATGTTTGTAAAGGTAGAATCTAGTATGTAACCTGTGTAGACTTTTTTAAAACCCCATTAAGGATAAATATTTGTGTGTTTTTCAGGTTGTTGGTAATACCACATCTGGCAGTTACAGCTATAGCACCCAGCAAAGCTTGGCTTTTGCGTATATCCCCACAGAACTAAGCAAAGCTGGACAGAAACTGGAAGTTGAACTACTCGGAAAAAAATATGTGGCAGCTGTTATCCAGGAACCATTGGTGCTGACTGAACCAACAAGAGAGCGCCTGCAGAGAAAGGGTGGGAGTGCCAAGGTGTAAATTCAGAGGGCATTTATAGTAAATTATCCAGTACTGAATGGTTTGATTTCCAACTGGAGGAGGACAGTAGGATCCTCTGGGCTGCTATCCCCTTTTTCTCTGAGCCCTAGTGGGCAGGAAATGATTGAAGAATGAGCAAGCCCATTATTCAGCTTCTCCATGCACTGGGCAGCAGAGCTGAACTAGTGTAGAGATGGAAGTAGTTTGCTATTGGTATTAGATGATAACTACTTTGCCTCTTTCCAAATCATATTTTATTCTGGTCTGCACCTGGGGCAGTACAGCTACATGTTGCTCTGTATATCTAGCCCTGACTAAAGTCATAGTCTAATCCCTGGAGGAGGAGCTAGTTCGGTCCACATAAACATGTCCTGGAAAAAAATTGAAGTCTGCTCCAGAACAATATTTTTTTTAAATGTTTAAAAGACAGACTGAGTTGATAATACTTCTTCAGCTGTGTTACTCTGGCATGGATTTTGATGGAGGAGAGCAATTCAATCCACCCTAATGAAGTAATTCTAGGAAGGTCACTATACTATGGAGGATTTTGTTGTGGATCATCTAGTAGACTATATGCTGTATTATTCAACATGAACAGTATTGCTACTCAGTTTTTACAATCTACTAAAATGTACTAAATCAAGCAGCCTTTTCCCCATGGTTTTTCCTTTCTCTGTTAGTTAACAAATAAGCAGTAATAAGGACAATGTGATGTTATACAAGTAAGTATTTTGGTTGAAAATATATATAGAAAACCATAGCATTTATTTCAGTGTTAGTCTTTTGATCATCCAAATAAGCAAGATTTTGGATATTATAAAACAGAAACAAGGGAAACATTGAATTATTATAACAAAATTGTCAATTCCACAATATACTCAACACTTCTCTTTGGATCACAATGTTGTCATAATTCCCAAAATTGTCATAACCTAAAAACGACTTTAAAAATTCTGGAATACTTGTTTAGATAGCATGCAACATTACATTGTTGATAGCCCTTTTCAAAGGTCATGTAAAAAGAAATTGCCCCAAGTGTACTGTTTTACAAAGGAATTGGTACTTTGAAATCCTCAGTAAAGAAGTGGAGGTATAAATAGAACATGCCAGTAGAAACACAGTTTGAATAATGAGCGCTTATCATTGCCACCAACCTAATGCAAGCTGACATTACATTGTGCAGTTCTGCATATCCTTTTACAAAGCAGGTCAAAATAAAGTATAGGAGCTGACAGGATTGCACATAGTGCTATCTTGAGTGAAAAATCCATTTGGAAATTATTCTCTGTTATGCTTTCATAAGTGATTTAGCTGTACTTTGCAGAACCAATCAGGGGTGTTATTTTTCCTAAAGGTGACATTATTTGTAATCGAGCGCTTGGTGTATGTTAGTTTGCCACTACTTTTCTCTTATAATTAAAGAAAGCTAAAATACAAAACAATGCACTCTGATTTTATTTAGAATAAGGAAGAAAAAAAGCCCTTAGGAACAGTTTCTAATCTCAGTATTTCTCAAGAACATGAACACTCACTAGTCATTGACATTCCAGAATGCAGAGTGTAGTAATTACATTGAGGGTCATACATACATTTCCTAGTAGGCAGTGGTACGCAACAACATTTGTCAAGTAATTGTAGAAGTCACCTCAGCTTCATCAGTGACTTCCACATTTATATATTGGAGCTAGAAGCAGGACAGCAACTATGACAGCTTGGAAGGAAGAGCTGTATACCTTGTGTGTGGGCCAGTTGGGGGTATGCTGGAGGGGAAGGTCATGGCTAGCTTCCTCTACTACTTCATGATGCCTGTTTAAGAATGACCGACAACCGCATCCATTTGTTCAACAGAGCTTAGAAAGTGTTGCCTCTAGGCATGTTTGAAAGAATACAGTACCCACACTGGACTCAAAAAAGGCATTTTTACATGTGCTCCAGGAGTAGGTGGGGGACAGCAGTTTAATTAGAGCAGCTTTGAGAGCTGCTCTAATTAAAGTAGTGCCGCGTCTTGTGTATCAGTGTCTCGCGTATCGGTGTATTGTGTAGGTCACTGCCCCTCATCCCCCAGAGCAGATGTAAAAGTGCCTTTTCTGAGTCCATTGTGGGTAGTGTCCCTTTCTGAGTCTATTGTGTGTACCATATTCCTCCATGTACAGGACAGTGCAGGCATATGTTTGATTATACAACTGTTGCTTTACAGCCTCATGTACAGTCAAACTGAGGAACCTGCAGCAAGTCCTCAGTCCCCTGCAGCAGACCCTGCCCTTTGTCAAGTCCGCAAACCTGCTTCACTGGGTACTTATTCACGAGCGTGGAGGCTGCTCTGACACACTGTAATTACAATGCATCAGAGCAGACTGAATTAATCGAGTCTGCTGGAGCATGGTAATTACTGCACTCCAGCCAGTCTCCTATATCAGCATCCTTGTGCTTCAAAATGGCAACAGGAGCGTTTGAACTAAAGCTCAATGAGCTAAAGCACCTCCACCACCATTTTGAAGTGCGAGGATGCTGACATGTGAGACGCGGAGGCTGGCTGGAGTGTGGTAATTACTGTGGTCCAGCAGACTCGATTAATTCAGCCTGCTCCAACACACTGTAATTACGGTGTGTCAGAGCAGCCTCCACACTCGTGAATGGGTACCCAGTGAAGCAGGTCTGGGGACTTGCTGCAGGTTCATCAGTCTGCTGTACATGAAGCTGCTGAGGAAGAGTTGTATAATCAACCACATCCCTTCACTGTCCTGTACTTGGATAGATAGCTAAGAACCAAATTTGATAATACAGTTAAACATGCGGTTAACTTGCATGCATTTTAGTCCATCCCTGTTCAGCAAAATGCTGAAGAACATAGTTTAAGCATCTGTTTCAAACTAACACATAAGTAAGAACATTGCTGAGTTGGGGGTTCAAAACTTCAAATTAGCTGTTGAGAAACCTGAAGCCCAGAAAACTCCAGCCAGATCTAAAGACTGAGGATTTTTGATCTGAATGGAAACTATCTCAGTGCAGAAGAAAGTAGCTACTTGGCCCTTTCCCATGAGGTTTTCATTGCTGCCTAACATTTCTTAAGTCTTGGCAAGATTGAGCTTCAGCCAGTTAACTTGCATTCAGTTCCATGGTTTAGGCAAAGGACGGAAGAATCGAAAAAATATAAAATGTGAATTCTGTGGAAAATGAGGTATGAGGCAAGGTGATATCTATATCAGCATATTGGTGATGGGCTAAAAGATCTCACTCAGGATTCCTTATCTGACCTTAATTATGACTAAATTAAATATGACGGATCTCTTCAAGGATAAGTAGCTAGAACACCACTCCCTGGCACCTTTTGAAGAGGAAAGAATTGAACTGTCATCAAGTCATGCAGTAATTCCCACATGCAAGTTAATATTTCATAATTGATTATGTAAAAGGCTGTGGTCCGTAGTGGTTAGCATAGAACAAAATAAGAGGAGGAACTCAGTATTCTTGGTGGCTTGTTCTGTCATTGCTTATCTTTGACATTGTGTCATGATAATGGTATTGCATCATTCAACGGCAAAAAGAAAAAATGAAAACAAATGTGTTTGTGTTTAAGCATGACTCAGAACAAGTTAGACAAAAAGCTATTGCTAAGGACATCTTTCTGGCCTTCAGCTCCTATTCCTAGAAATATAACATTTTGGATTAATGCTGGATAGAAAATCTGTAAGAATGAAAAAACTAATAGCACTTGGAAATCCAGGGGATTGTTAGAAATACCAAATTAAACATCCTCCACATGAAAAAATGACTGCAATTTTGAAAGACGGTTCTTATAAAAATATATTATGTTGCATTATTTACCTTCTTCCTCCAATCCCAACATCCAGGGAACCTTTTGGACATTACAGATCGTACGTTTTCATCTTAACTATCTCAGTTCTTTTATATCTCAATGAGAAGTGCCATGTAAATAATTTATATAGAACTAAACAAATAACATGGATACTATAATCCTGCCCATCACTATAAGGCTTTAGTTAACTATGGATCTCAGAACAGAATCTGTATTACATGATATTTATGCCTGAAACCAGATTGATCAGAAGGATCTAGGAAAGTAACCTGACCTAGAGTTGCTCCCAGCGCTGCCATTCCCCATTCCTGTTGATGTTTGTGGCCTTGGAGAAGAGTCTCTGATCTAAATAACATTTTCTGATCTTGGTTCATGACCTTTGAGGTAAAAAGGGAAAACCTAAAAATGTACAGCAGTAGCATAAGTTTGCTTGTTAGAGCCTCCATTTAATATATTGCCTGAACTTTCATCTTATCAGATAATTCACACAAGGAAGCAGAGGCTTCTGGAGGAATAGATAAAACTATTAATAACTTCTAAATTTTCTGTAAAAGGAGATGCTTGTTCAGATACACCTGAGGAAAGAGAGTGAAGACCTTCTGAAAAGATGCCAGGTGTCAGAGGTATTATGCATTCTTCAATTCACTTTCATATCAAAGTTTGGTATATTCAGCAATACCACACAGAATTTTCAAAGCATTATTTTGGATGACCAAGTATTCTTTGACTAGAAATTCAGTAACATGTTAAATCCAACCTTACACACAGCTAGGAAATTTGTAAAGTATAGTGAAATGTAGCAATGCAATCATAAGAGTTTATGGGGACTGAATTAAAGACTAAGAAAGCTAGTAGCTTCAAAACTTTTTTCAGAGTTTGAACCACATCTTAACAAAAGGAATGTCTCAGTGATGCCTTTGTTCCCATTTTTGGTTACATAACAGTTTTTCAGCAAATATACCATTCACTCACACGGAAAAGTAATACTGTACTTAGAAAGTACTGTTGCCTCTTCTTCCAGCCCCTGTGTGTCCTTCTGACATCATGAATAGCAGATTTCTTTGGTCTTTCAAGTCAGCTTTCTAGCGGAGGTGAGGATCTAAGCATATATATGTTTATATACGTTTACTTTGGTTAGCTAGTAAGGTGTGTGTGTATGTATGTATGTATGCATCTGTGTATGTGTATATCTATGACAAACTTTCATGATCTGCGGCTCATTTAATCATGCTGTGAACGGATGTGCACAATGCAGTGTGTAGAAGAAGGACAGAGAAATTTGAATACAAAAAGCAGAAGGGAGTAGGGGAGCCTACTTCTGCAGCCAGTGTCATATTGGTGTTCATTCATTCTTACACATAGACAGCAGAGAGGCACTGTGAGCAGGTCATAGCATATATGGCATTGGTAGAGTTGCCAATGAACCTTGGATGTTATAATCCATATTTCTTGGTCCAGTGATGATATGATCTGTATTGATGTTGGAGCACAGAAGGCATCTGTGTCTGTTGCAAGGTCTGGTGCCTCAGTGAGACTGGGAGTTAGTCTCTTGCTTGAGAGATGCCATTTGAGGTTAGGACTGCCTGTAAGACAGAACAGTTTTGTCCCCCTTAACTGCTTTGAGACCATCATCTTTTTACAGGTGGTTATTATTATTCCAGGGGTTGGAGGTTATTAATGATGTGTCTGAGGTGTTCAATCATAGAATCATAGGGCTGGAAGGGACCCTGAAGGATCATCAGGTCCAGCCCCCTGCATGAGCAGGGAAGATATCTGGGGTCAGACAACCCCAGCCAGGTGACCATCCAGTCTTCTCTTGAAGACCTCTAGGGTAGATGATTGCACCACCTCTGGGGGAAGCTTGTTCCATAGTCTGGACACCCTAGTCATAAAGAAGGTTTTCCTAATGTTCAGCCTGAAACTATCTTCCAGGAGTTTGTGGCTGTTCTTTCTAGTTTTCCATGAGGGCGCCCTGGTGAACAGTTGTTCAGTGAGCCCCTGTTGTACGCCTCTGATATAGCAGTAAGCTGCAATCAGGTCCCCTCTCAGCCTTCTTTAGGCTGAAGAGTCCGAGATCCCTCAGCCTCTCCTCTCCTCACGGTGGGGGCTGTGGATGACAACTCAAGGGGCTCTGTTGTCCTTAACTCAGGACAACAGAGCCCCTTAACTCAGGGTTGGTATTGTAGGAGGTTGGAGTGAGGTCTGAGTGTGGCTTTGTTGATTTGAGTGACTACAGCTCTGATATTGTATTTTAACTGTAGGAATCCATGCTCTAGAACAAGGTGTGCATCCTGTCAGTGGAATCAGAGCAGATATCGATGTAACATAGAACTTAGTTGTAGATGATGGATCTAGTGGTGTGCTTAGGGTAAAAGCTGGTGGTGTGAAGGTAGCTGTGGCAATTGGCTAATTTGGCTACTGTGTGGTGGTGATTTGGCCACCACATTGTAAACCTTCACTGTAGTGTCTATGAAATGAATTTGTTGGGTAAAGTATACCAGAGTTAGTTTGATTTTGGGGTGGAAGTTGTTAAAAATCCTGGTGAAATATCTCTAGAGATTCCTTTCCATGTATCCATACAATGAAGATGCCATTAACTGACCTTAGGTATATTGTGGGCAGGTGTGGAGGAAGTGGACTTCAAGGTCTGTTATAACTATATTGGCATATTAGGGAGCCATATGTGTCCCCACGGAAGTGCCATTCATTTGTGGGTATGTAGAGTCCCCCAGACCTGCTGTCCCTGTTCCCCGGGCTTCTGGCTACATTGCTACAACACTGGCTACTGGCCTCACTGAGAAACAGTGAGGTAAGCCTGAACATGCCAATACAGATTTAACAATTTGAGCTGGCCACCACAAAGGAATATAAATCAGAGTTCTCTGAGGACAAGGAGCAATGGCCATAAATTGTTAGAGGATGGTTTCAGGTTGGATGTAAGGAAGAACTTCTTTAAGGTAAGGGTGACCAGAATCTGGAACAAACTTCCCAAGCAGGTGGTGCAGTCCCCAACCTTGGAAGTCTTCAAGAGGAGACTGGACAGACACCTTGCTCGGATCATTTGATCTCAGCTGTATTCCTGCCCAGAGCAAGGGGATTGGACTTGATGATCTTTCAAGGTCCCTTCCAGCCCTTAATTTCTATAATTCTATGAATTACAGAAGAAGGGAGGAGCCCAACAAATTCACCACTTCTACTGAAGGCATCTCATCATACAGATTCTTATTTAAACTGAGCTGTTATTATGTTATGCAATAGTATTTTTAAGTCACTGAGATTGCAACATGCTCTTCATTTATTATCATATCGAAAGAAATAAAAACATGGTATCACAAGGCATTACTATATTTTTTAAGCCAGAAAGCATTCCTTTGAGATTGGTGTAAAAGCATTCTGGAAATGTTGTACACCTGCCCAATATATCTTATTCACAGGAGGAGAGCTTGTCTTTGACAGAGACTTGGTGGTCAGGGAGGCAGAAAACGAAATAGGTGTCTGTCAGATTCAAATTTTTTTTTGTAGTTTTACTGATTAATTTTATTTTTAAATGTGGATTTTCCTTTCATCTGTTACCCACTGTCTTCGGTGTCCAAGCTTGGAAATGTTTGTGTCCCATTCTAACCAAGTGTCAAACACATGATTGTTTGATCCTTAAATGGAAAATGAAATTCATATGCATTCTCAGAATGAATGATAAATTGAGCGGTTATTTCTGCTCTTTCATAGCACTCACAATCTTGGATTTTGCATTAAGATTGTAATTAGGTAAATAAGGTCAGCAATAGTTTTTGATATTTCCTTAGGCTGCCTTAGAAGATTCTCCTGTCTGAAGAAATAGCCCTGTTGACATAGCTGTTATTTCTGCTGCTGGGTTGCTTCACTTCCCACTCATTAACAGCCACAAGTAATATGTTATAGCAATAAAACTGGGTAAGCTACCTTCATTTTGCATATGAAGACAGCATTAAATAATGGACCAGCTAGTCCTACCCAGGTATTAAATCATGCTATCAGTTTAAATGAGAATTTCCATTTACCTTAAAGTTCTCTGAAACAAAACCTCACAAATGGTTCAGAAGGAAATTTTCTTCAGAATAGATTACATATGCAGTGGTTAGCAACGTTTAACAAGCCACTGGTCAGAACAACTCAGCTCTGGTGTGATGTGGGCCAGGTGGCTATGGCAGTATGTCAGTGGTGGGGGGATTTTTCTGCACCTGTGCTAGAGCCAAGCAGCTAAGAGCTGATCCTATGCCAGTGCTGCTTCCCTCAGCTCCCAGCCAAGCTCTGCTGGGGTTGGGCAGCTGGAAGCTTGCTGCCCAATATTTCTTCCCCCCATCCTCTTTCCTACCCCCTCATCTTCAAAGTTGTGGTACAGTTCCCCACTGATTAGAAGCTGCGCCTATACTTCATCCAGGAAGTAGGGGACTGGGGGAAGCAGTGGTGTCGCAAGTGCCGCTTGCAGCTGCCCAGCCCTAGTATAGCTCCTTGCTGCCTGACCCCAGGGCAGGCACAGACATAGGCAATGCCTTCTGGCTCTGTAGGCCAGATCCAGTGGCTCTATGGGCTGAAACTGGCCCAAGGCCATATGTTGCTGACCCCTGATATAATGTAGATAATATAGGAACATAAAAGTGGAATGGATTCCCTGGATTATCAAATGTGCATCAAGTCTGGGCCCCTGCCACTGCAGGGAACCATGTAATAGAATCCCTTTCATATATGTATCGACCTACGGCTTAAAATAGTTCCCCCCACTATCATTCCAACTGGTCACCTGTCCCACAAATTCACTTCTCAGATGATTAGAAACTTTCTAATTTCTAGTCTGAAGTTATTAATGTGAGTTTATACTCATATGTTTTTGTGCCCTCATTTTCCCTTAGCTTAAATACCTCCTTTCCCTCATTGATGTTCACTCCCTTGACACATCTATAGAAAAAATTGATAGCCCCCCCCCCTGCCCCCCGACTTGTTTTCTCTGGATAAATAAGCCAAACCCTTTTGATCTTGTCTCTTGAGGTAGGCTCTCCATTCCACTGATTTTGACCAACAATTTTTATTTTGACTGTTGTATTAGAGCTACATATAAACTTAAGTTTTCAAATAAGAACAGATAATTTACATATACCAGGAACTTAGTGAAATCCCAATTAAATAAGTAAAAGGTAAAGAATATATCATACCAAGTATGCTTCTTTGCTTATATAGTTCTTTCCTAATGTGCTGAATACTGAAGCATGCAGGTGCCAGCTACATGAATAAGAGCCATTTGTAATCCTTTGTTTACATTATTACCACTATTTGGAATTATTTAATGGAATAGTTGATTTGAAATACATACACTTGGAAACAACAGCAAGCAAGACTGCTATTGATCCTTACAGAAAAAAAGTGAAAACTAGAAGACAGAACACAATGCGAACTCAGCAAAGAACAAATATGAAACCAGTATGACAGAGTGATGATTGAAGTAGAGAGAGACATCCAGTAATGACTGAAGTGGAAAGACACATCCTAGTCCAGTAACGAAGATACAGAATAGTAAAAGAAAACTGTTTCTTTAAATTGACATATATAAGGTACAAATTCTTTAAACTTTTCTGACAATTAAAAAGAAAAACTATATATAGCTCTGCAGGCAAGGAGAGGCATGGGCAGTAATAGTTAACACTCCATAACAATCTGCACCTGTATAAAAATAAATAGCAATAACAGGAAAACACAGGGGATAAATCCCAGATGTATTATGAAGACGTTCTCTGGGCAGATGATGCTATAGTTAGTATATCTGCAATGTGGCAGAGACATGAAATTTCTGTCTTTCTATCAACTCCAAAATAATTTGTTCTGGTTGTTCCTAAACCAGTGGTTCTAAACGTTTTTAGCTCAAGGCACCCCTTGTTAGACTTGTTGGATTCTAGGCACCCCTCAGAAAATGCTAGCTCTTAGTTTTCACTTGTTTTTTTTTCACTGTGAAAAGATAAGAGTATTTTTTCCTGTTATAAAGCACTCAGAAATCCTACAACAGGTCAGAATGTTTTTTAAATTATGGATTCCTATTTAAAATCTCTGGATTTATTGTGTGACTCACATGTGCACACCTAATAATGCAAACATTGCATGACACCCCAGAGTACCCATGAAAGGACCTCAAGGCACCCCAGGGTGGCACCTAGATTGAGCATCACTGTTCTAAACTGTTCCCTGGAGCAGATTCTAGCTGGACACATGATACTGTACAATTTCCTCATTTTATTTAAAGGACTTCCATATAGTTCAGATTTATATTCCATGTCACCAGTTGCTGTAATTGCCACAGCGATGTTATTTGATTACAAACCTACCCACCTTGTAGATTCTGGGAGCAGAATTAGCACGTGAGATTATGTTTCTGTTTAATGTTGTCACTCTTTGAATAGATTTGGGAACCTCTGCTGTGTTTGCATCACAAATGTTGCCAACCTATAACAGGGGAAAAATTGCTCATATATCTGGCATTGCTCTCTAACCTCGTCATTTTTTATAAAAGCTTGCTTATAATTTCTGATAATTTGAAGAAAAAATTGTTGTACAGTTTGTATTTTGGACATCAGAGTAGGTGTCCTTCCAGTTCAATCAGTCTTCTGCCAGAGGTGAAGGAAGCAAAGTTTTCTTGGTGATAACTTTTGTTGGGCCAGCTGTAAAGTTGGGAGAGCTGTTAGACAAGCTTTCAGGCACAAAAGCACAACAGGACTTTGAGGCTGACAGGGACGTCTGTCCTTTACACCTTCCACATTTGAAAGATTCTGTTGCAGGAGTGAGGGGCATCTGCAGGGCCAGGGGGCTTTCAAACACAAGGCATTTTTGTCAGGTCTCTGATTACAGGAAGCCAAGAACAGCATGTTTTACCTTGGAAAGCTTATCTACCTTTATTTCAACTCATGATTTTCCATCAATTTGCATGTTTAAGGTTCAGTCTTTTGTACCCCACTGAATCTAAAGGTTTTGAGAAAAAAACCCCACTATAAATATTTTTTCTCTGTCTGGTAACTTTTATGTGTGGAAAAAAATGATGTCTACAGCTGGGGTTGTCAGTTCATTGATGGGTTTGCCAGTTAGGGTTTAACAAAGGGCAGGCTCCTGCAGCTTGTTACCTCTTTCCTTGCAATTAACAAACAAGCAAGGAAACCCAAACTAAAATAGAAACAACATCCTCTGATCCACAAGAGAATCACAGGCATGGGCCCAAACAAACAGCTAGCCCCTCTTGTTGTTTGAGGGGCTATTAGGTGTGCACCAACTGATTCCTTGGGACAACTAAAACAGTAACAAGGACATGAGTGAGGGTCAGAGGCTGAGAACAAGCACCCCGGGGTGGGGGGACACACTGAGCAGAGCACGCTGGGCACCGCCCTCAGACGGGACCCTGGAGCCAGCAGACACTGCCCAGGGAAACTGCCCCGGGATGTGAGTGCGTGAAGCATAGGCCCACGGCCCCAGTCAGTCACCAAACAAACGACAGGCCTATTTGACGCATAAGGGCAGCATAGGCCTTATGCCCACAGCAATGGTTAGCACCCCTGTTATTAGAGGGTACTACTGAGTGTGCTTCAAGTGAGTTTGGGGGACGACGAAAGAGAAAACAGGGACAGGAGCGAGGGTCAAAGCTTCACAGCGAGAGCAGGGCGGGGAGACGCTCAGTGGAGCCAAGGCCGGCCGCGGGCAAAGCGCCTGTTTTCTGTGTCCTATTAGTATTATCGTTATCTCGGGGGCGG